AGTAAACCGACTGAATTCCCGAAGGGAAGCACCGTAATGGCAAAATATGGACGTGAAAAGCTTGTAGCGAAAGATCTCCAGCGCGCGTAGCCGGTTTCCTATGTCGACGATGCTGCTTACGTCCGCAACTCGCGCACATACCGCAGATAGGTATCCCGATAACCCGTTATCGCGATTCGCGATATACAATGTGCAGGCCGTACGCCAGAAGACGCTCGACGAGGCACGAAATAATCGAGCGATCGGACCGCTCGTAAATTTCGCGCGTGATCGGCGGACAGAACGTAAACGTGCACGGGAAGAGTAATTATTAATTAACCGTTTTGCAATCGTGATCCTCATGCAATAAGAGTAGGATAAAAAATGACTCGATTCTTGAAAGAAATTTTAGCTTTAATGCTATCGTCGCATCGTCGTGTCTCATTACAGATACGGCGGTAATAATAAAAAAATTCTTTCTATAGTATGTCACAGAAGAAAAATAGATCGAATAGTTCTCAACAAAGCTATAGCTTGCCACGTGAATTCAACATCTATAACTAAGATTTAATGGTTTAACAATGAAGTTATTAAGCAATTCAGTATTTTTTCTTAATTATCAGTATATCCTCTTAATTATCAGATATGTGAATAAAATAAACGATAAAAATTGCTAATTTTACATGTTTTCTTCATTACAACAGTAAAAGTATGTGTCATTTTAGCCAGCACGTTTTTTATTAAAAATTTTCATTTCTAAATTGATTTTCGTAGGAAGTTATCTTTGATATATTAAAAAATTTACTATTAAAACAAATATAATTGCCTATCGCTTTTTAACTTTAATCATTTGCACAATTTTGCTACTTTAATATAGAAAACTAGTTATATATTGCGACTAGATAAATTAATTAAATCAAAATTTTTTAATTGTTTTTACGAATTTTTTCCCGTGTCAATGTATTATATATCTCTCTCTCTCTCTTTCTACAGAATAATATTATTTCTCTTTATAGTATATACTGATTTTCAATAAAATGACAAATAAAAATCTAAGTAAAAATGTCACATTTCTTTTATTCTGTACATTCATAAAACATGTTCGTTTAACAATACAATACATAAAAATAGCTAAAAATAACTATTTGAATAAATAAGATGGTGTGAATGCGACAAAGAATTCGCGACGATAGTTAAAAGTTAAGATTCCGGATTCGGTGCTTACAAATTGAGACAGTCACGAATGTGAATCAACAATGCCGAGAGCTACACTGAGGAAAATTTCTGGAATTCTAATTATCTCAATTAGAATTATATATAGATCCAACCAGAAAATTCTGATTTCAATCAGAATTCCAATTAGCTCAACCAGACTCTTTTTCCAGTGTATGAATTAAGAATTGCAGATCGCGAGAATTATAAAAATATGGGATACATCTTATAGCGAAAATGTTCATACATGCTATTGTAAATCAAGCGTTCGCAAAGAACCGAAACTCGTTATCAGCTCGTTTAAGTGTGACTTAAGCGCGTTATCGGATCGCGCAAGGCCACACAGGCCGCTCTTGTCTGATAACGCGCACGACGCTCTCTCGTTATATTGCAAAATAAGCAAATGGAATAAGCGCATATTTTTCATGGTACTTGGTACACTTGCGGTCTATTCCGACTTTTATGAGTCGGGAAAATTTAATTACCCGCGTCAATCACGCGCCGGGGAAAAAGGGAACGATATCCACGAAGGAATATTGAGATCGACCTTTAGAAAAAGACTGCGAGCCGGCGCAAACGCAAAGGAACCGTGTCCTTTGAAGAAACACGTTGATTAATTCATTTGGAGATTAATTCATGAGGGTAATTCATTCTTGTGTTGTCAGAGAAAACACCGGGTATTAACGAATCAATTAACGCTTTTAATTCTTCGTGTCAGCTGGCGCGACAACCAGCGGGCGATTAAATAATTTTCGCTTAGAATGCCGATTATGCACCCCTTCCGGAACTACACGGCGCTTACTACAAATAAAAGATCAGCCAAAATTCGAATTTTCGGTTCGAGAGGAGCACAAAACAAGGAGGAAAAGGCGTATCTGGAATCGCGATACCACGGCTTACTTTTTCATCGGACAAGAGCTTGATGTGCAGCGGTTATTAGGCGGGGGATCAAAGTCCCAAAGAGAACGAAGAGGGTGGACGATGTGTCCCTCAGCTCGATAATCCCTTTTTCTCGCGTGCGGCGGTCGCATAAACGCCTACGGCCACGTGGATCGGCTGCCAATTACTGCCTCCCAAAAATCCACCGTGAATTTAATTTCCGAGCTGCTATGTCGTGTACACACAGAAAAGTACATAATATACGCAAGTAATAATTACTTGTACCAAGTATTTCGAAAGTTCATACATCTGCAATCTATCATAAGTTCATTACAAGCATTAAATTTATTAAAAATATATTCTAGTAAGTTTGCTACTTCAATTAGGATTATTAAATTAAAATCCTAATTTTCAATTTGCTTTTTTTATATAAACTTGCTTCTTCAAACAATTTTTATAATATTTTTCAAATAATAAATTCTTCTTTTGAATACATAATGAGTTTTTTTTAAATTTGTAATAAGTATATTTTAAGATTATTATCAATTATATTATTGATATTCTTTGTTAAAAATAATCTTTATTTAAAAGGAAGAAAGTAAATTGAGCAATCAACGGATAACTCTCCCCCCCCCCCCCCTT